ATTGTGTGTGTGGTATAATTACTAAGACAGATTTTTTTTTTCTTAATGGCACAATAAATAGGATATTTCCTGGCCTGCTCTGCATTTCGAATAGGATTTTCACTTCCCCTTTGGGTTTTGAGCGTAAGGGGAGTAAGTGTCAAAAGGCAGGAGCGTTCCCAATTTTAAAACAGAGAGGGTGTAACCATGTGTAATGTGAGTCTCAATTTTGATTGTAGGGATGATGAAATCAAATCCCTCCTTAATCCTTACTGGGAAACATTGAGGTGAATTAGCCTGACTGCTTTTGTTAACTTGTTAAAATCCTTTTGAAAAAGAAATGTGTTTTAGTGTCATCAAAAGTGTCTCCCTGCTTTAGCCCAGAGTCTTACAGACCCCTGGACCACGTGCAGAGTGGCCTCAATTCAGTGAAAAATCAAAGAAGGAGGATAGAAAAAAACAAATATATTATTTGCCTGGAAAAAACACAGTGCTCTGTGATATGCAACTCTTGCCAGCACTGCCATTTTTAAGATAGATGCTTAGTCATTATTAATGATGGTGTATTTCTTTAAAGTTCTATGTTTGGGGAGTAAGTGAAACTTGCCCTTTTTTTCTCCCTTAAGGTTATTAAAATAATATACGGTTGTCTGTGTGCATTGCAGTCCTTGTGCATGTACCAGTTGGATTATTTTTGGAATATGTGAGGAAGTTTATTCCAGTTGTTTCATTTGTAGCAAAGTATTATCTTGAACTTGAGAAGAGCTCCCTGTTCACATCATTGAGCTGTGCTGTGCAGTGGTTGGAGTCTCTCGATACTCCCACAGCTCTACAAAAACACTTGACACAAGCTCATAAAATCACCGAGACCGTTTTTTCTCCCTCCCAAAACCTCCTTGATTATGTTAATTGATAATGTGTCTCTACAGCCCCCACTTGTGCACACAACTGTCTTTAAGGTTTAATTAGTCCATTAAAAATAGCTGAACTATTTAAGGAGGAGTGCCTTATAATTAATAAAGGAGAACATCTTGTTCATTCTTGCCATTACTCAGACAGAGGCAAGCAGCTGGTATGACAGTGGGCTTTTCTTGATGTGATTATACCAAGTTCCAGGGCAGGACCTTGCATCAGTTGGTGTGAAGGACCTAAACAGCTGGAGATTAAGTAGAAAAGCATACTTTTTTTAGTAAGTAACCTAATAAAAGTAAGCTTGTAGGAAGAAATGGGAGCAGAAGGTGATGTTTCCAAGGTAGAGCAAAATAATTCTCTCGAAATTCTGTCTCTGCAAACTCCAGGCTTTTTTTGCTGTGGTCCACATTCATCCCACCAAAATCAGATACTCAGTGGTTCAGTTTAAGTGAAAGGTGGCCACAATTATCTTTCAGATGTGCATCTTGACCTTACCTGCTCAGAAGACCTTCCCTTAGACATCTCAGTTAAACTGCAGTGGGATGAGCATTGGCCAAAGAGTCTCACCCAGCAAATCCTCAAATCTATTTTCCACAGTCACTCTGGAAATTTGCCTTTTCAGGTAAGGTTCTTCTCCACTGGGAGAAGGAGACTCTGAAGCCTTTCACAGCTGTGAAGCTTATAGTTCACTTTAACAACTCTGTCTCCTTTATCCATGCCCACAAAGCCTCAAGTCCATCCCTAGCTGCAATCATTGCATCAGATTTGCCAGAACTGTCCCTAGTTGCAATCATTATATCAGAAATATCTGACATTGCTGGCAGGGAGAGTGCATATATCATCAACTTACTCCTTTTTGTAAACGGTTCATCACTTTTACTGTGCTTCAGAGAAGCTTTTGTGCTCATTTTTGAACAGCAGCAGGAATAAATGGTGGTTCTTCAGCTTGTCAATTATTTGCTCTTTTCTTTCCATCCACTGTTTGAGTTCTTGATCTTGATTAAGATATTATTTAGTTCCTGCCTTTCTGAGCCCTTACCCTTGGACAGATACGTAATAGATTTGTATTTAGGCACTACTGGGGTGATTTAAGAAAGCTGTTTTTCTTTGAAGAGTGGCTAAGCCTGGGAAGTTCTCTCTTCTTTCTCATCTCCTCCTAGTAGTTAATAGACTTCATAAAGGATCTCACAACACTCTGATAAGCCTTTGAAGTTATTACCTGCTAAGGTTTTGCTCTTTCTGAGTACTGAACATTGAATTACTGACTGCTGTTAGAAGCAATGACAAAAGATTCACAAAACCGACAGAACCTTGCCTATAATTTCTACAGAAAAATAGCTGAATTTAATGGATAAATTGTGTTGCTGGGGAGATTTTGATTCTGTTCCCTCCTCTGTCACCAGTTTGCCTTGTGATTTGTGGTAGCGTTTTCAGTTATGCCAGTCACATGAGATCAAAACCCATGAGTCACTCCCCACCCAAATCATAAGCCTGGCTTCCAGATCCAGGAGCTTTGAACAGAGATCATGCCGTACTTTTTCTTTAGTTTATCTTTTGTTTCTGGAATTTCCTCTGCCTATTCCCAGTATGTCTCTAGCAATTAATGTTTCCCACTCCTTTGGAAGTGTTGGGCAGATACTAGAGGCCTCATTTGACCTACACAATTAATTTTATTTTTGATCACCAAGTGAATCTTATGTCTTCCAGATTTCACATCTTTCTCCTTTCCCCAATGACTTCTGCATCCCTTAGCCTCAAATGACCCATCACTTCTGTTTCTTCCTTGTAATTCAGCTGCTCTGTCCCCCCTTTAGTCCTCTGGTATTTAGAGGGTTTTCCACCATTTCCTCGAAGGACAGAGGATGTTTAAAAAAATGCAGATCTGGGTAACCCTTAACCTTTGCATGAGAATATGAAGTTGGAGAGAGCAGGGAAATGATGTTCCTGAGTCTCTTTCCTGAAAAAGATGAAATTGTTGCTTGCAGCACAAGAAGTGGGCGATGACGCCAGGCAGGAGGTTGTCTCCGTGCGGGACGGAGACTTAGGAGAGCTGGAGCTTTGCATATCACTGTGAGACAAGAACCGTTTGCTCTCAAGGTATTTGCAGAACTTGGCAAACCAGGGTTTTGCACTTACTTTGAAGGCAGTCAGGTGAAGAAAAAACAGAATCAACAGAATCAATGAATTTATAAGCCAAAGTCATTCCAGAGGAGGTAAGATGAGAATCAGCCCTCCTGCCTGCACTCTCTCGCCCTCTAATTGATTCATTGATCTGTTTTTCTTCAAATTCTAGTTTATAACATATTGTTTGCAGACTCAGTTATCCAGCTCCATTATGAAGGATGCAATTATGATTAGGATGGTGAAAAAGCCAAGGGGAAGTCTGGTGTCGTATCACTGTTTCTCCCATAGCATTTGCCTCTTTTGAGGAAGGGTAAGAAATTAAAACTTCTTGGCAATGGTTTAATCAGCAACTGTGACTTTGCAGTAATTATGGCACGCCTGGTGGTGCCTGGTATTCCCATGGTGACATTGTTGCTGTTGCCGTGAAATTTGCAGAACAGTGCTAACTATTTAACTTATAAAATTTTGTAGAACCGGGCTACTCACACCTCAGGTAGATAGGAAAATGCATCTTCCCATCCTCATGCCCTGCCACGCTTTCACCCACGTCATTTGCTGATTCTCGCATATGCCATGTGCCAGACATATTGCAGATCCATAGTTTCAAGTCAAACTGCAGCCAAACTGTTCACCCAAATACCTCTATATCCAAATATCTCTAGAGTTCTGAGTGTTTGAAACCGAATCTCAATTCAGAGCAAAATTCATTACATAGCCCTAAACTTTATGGCAGGTTGTCTCCAAGCCTTCAATCCATACTCTCTCCATAGTCTGGCGACAAGAAATGTCATTTCACAGGCAAGGCCTGAATTTGTAGCAGCTGGACGTTTCTAATCTCAAAATGTTTCTAATTGTGCTGTGGATGTTTCACAGAGCTGCAATAATTAGAAGTGATTCTTTCTTTAAGACAGAGAAATGCTACCTCACAGCTTGAATATTAATAAGATAAAATTTATGAGAGCCAACAGAGTAATATAATATTGTCTCCAAAGGAGGAGGGCATTTATTTGCTTAGCTCTTTCATCAGCCATTTTTGGACACACACTGTGTGTATAAAATACAGTTATGCAACCCATGTGGGTCAACAACAGAAGGTTGGTTGCTTCACCAGGATTATAAGAATCTTTTAAACACAATGGTACCACAAATTAAAATGGAAATCTATCAAAACCATTGTCGTCCTGAAAGCTTTGGCCACAAGCATAATTATTGTAGAAGGATGTTGTCCTTGGACGCAGCTTTGGCTCGGTTCGGCTGGTGTTATTTGTATCCCTCCATGGCTCAAAGTCAGAATTTGCATGGCTAAGGACCATAAATTTTTAGAGGAAAAAATAGGCTGTTTCCTCAATGCTAACACTAGCAGTTTTTTATTGGTTTGTAGTGGTTCGTAGGCAATTCATTAGGTACTAGAGATAGGAACAGACTGAATGTGGTGGCTGAAATCTGCCTTGAACCTCAGAAGGATTCAGATGGAGATTTGTGTCTGCATCTGGTTGTGTTTGAGGTTGCTTTGCTGGATGTGAAGAAGAATTAGTCAATTTCCACAGGATTTGGGTTTAAATATAAAGTACGCATTTTAGATAGTAAAACAGTGAAGCAGATATTAAGCTGATATAATCTGCAGACTTTAATTGAGCAGAAAACCTGTCCTGAGTTTTTCTATCCTTTTCATGAAGCTGGAATTCCTGTAGGGATGAGAGTAACTGAGAGAACATCCTGGATGTTGCTTGCCATCAGCAAAGGGCACATCTCCTTACCCAGAGCTGCCCTCAGGAGAGGCTCCATGTTGCATTCTCGAGCTCCTGGCAAAGACTGAATCCTGCAATAACTCCATGCTCGTGTTGATGATAAACTATATTAAATAACAGGCACTGCTGGTTATTTTTAAACTGGTTATTTTTCTTGCGACATCCTGTTTTCCATCTTGAGGAAGGTAAATGACTAACATGTCTGAAATCCATTTTTCCTTCCTTTCCATCCCTCAGGCTGGTATAGATGGAGAAAGCATTGGGAACTGCCCATTCTCCCAGCGTCTCTTCATGATCCTGTGGCTCAAAGGAGTTGTGTTCAACGTCACCACTGTTGATCTGAAAAGGTAAAAGCTGTTCAGTTTAACTGAAATAGTGAAATGATCCAGTGTTTGTCCTACACAAAGGCACCACCAAGTTCAATCAGATTTGTATCTAACCTAGAGAGCCTGTGGTGCAACAAAATAGTTGGGATTCAGGTTTGGTTGTCGGGTTTTTTTCACTTGTGGAATGTTTTAATATTAAACAGGGCGCTTGGGGTACTTTCAGAGTCTTCCAACCACAAATTACAGAAAAAAAAAAAAAAGACTGATTTTCTAGGAACTATAAATATCTGTGCAACTACCTGATTGTAAAGATTAGTGATTTTGTGACTTTTTTTCTCTGTCTGCAGAAAGCCAGCTGACCTGCACAATCTGGCTCCTGGGACCCACCCACCTTTCCTGACATTTAATGGAGAAGTCAAGACAGATGTTAACAAGATTGAGGAATTCTTGGAAGAGATTCTTGCACCTCCAAAGTAAGAACTTGAGATTTTTTTCATTCAAAATTCCATTTCCTAGAAATGAAAGATGTCCTAAGAAGAGTTCCTAAAAAGCGCTCCTTCCTACAACCTTTACTTACAGGAGTAATATTTATTTATGAAACTTGCTGGCTTCAGTGAGATGACTTCCATGTGTGAAGGTTACTTGTGTGACTAATAACTGCAGACTGTTTTCTCTGTACACATTTCAGGATGTCCTTGTATGCAGAATTAAGGAGATTGGTATTAGAAAAATTTTGTAGGGGTCTGGTGGCCACATTTTGCAAAGCTAAAAATAACTTGGAAGAGATGCTGAGAATTGCCACACAAAATATCTGTGCCAGGAAAAGCATTTTACAGTGAAAAACTGGAGGATTCTGAACTGTACGGTGTATTAGGAAGTTTGGAAGGGGAATTGATTACAGAGGATGAGAGGCTCTGGAGGCAGAAAAGTGCTCATTATTCTAGTCGAGAAATGACAAGAACCCATGATGAAAGTTATAACCAAACTAATTCAGATTAGAAATAAGGCCCAGATTTTTTCAGTATGAAAAGCTACCAAGGAAAGGTTTAGATTTACCAGATATGCCTTAGTTAGTCAAATGTTTTGGACTTAATACAAGGATAATGGGAAAAAGAAATTGCTGGCTTGTGAGTTGGACCTTAGAATCTATGAATCAATGAAATTTGGCTTGGTTCCTTACACTCCTTGGAGTGTTTTACCTCCAAGTGAATCAGCAGCTATAGGATAGTCGTGAGGCAAGAGATCAGATATTTTAATTTTCTATACTCTACTCCAAGACCACTGAAGTCAGTAGAAGTCTTTAATTGTGTTTATCTTTCAAATCGATATATTCCTTTGCACCAGTTGCCTATAAAAAGCAATTCGGAGACTGAAATCTTTATGTTCCTTCACCTGGGTGATCCTAACATGCCTTGCTGTTCCATCCTGGGGTACATTTTCGGTGTAGGGGATTAGACATGACTGCCATTCATAATGGAGAGACTTGGCAGCCAAATTCCCCCCCACAAAATTTCTGGAAATTTATGCTTCATTCTGATTTAAGGCCACTGTATCTTGGATCATGGTAACACAAAGCACAAGTACAATTACCTTTGTCTTGAAACCATCTCTGTGTAACTCTCCAACAGATATTGTTAAGAGGGACTTACCAAGCTGTTGTTTTGAGATAAAAGATGATGTTAATTACAGTTCCTCGTACAGGAGCTTTTGTCTTTCTTCTATTAAATTGTATTTGTAACCATCCCTATGATGCTGGTAGCAAGATGTTACTCTTCACACTGCTTCTTCTTTTTCAGGTACCCCAAGCTGGCTGCTAAGCACCGGGAATCAAACACTGCTGGAATTGATATCTTTTCCAAATTTTCTGCATACATCAAAAATACCAAGCAGCAGGATAATGCTGGTGAGTATGATCACTGCCAAATGTGCCAGGGAGTTTCTGTGCTTAGAAGTGGAATAATTTTGCCATTCCCTCCTAATTTTATTTTAAGGTCTGTTCGGATGACATCAGGTTCTGCTGCTGAGCAGTGGGAGATGGTTGGTTCAGTGGGCTAAATCCACATGTTCTCAGCTGAATTAACTACATCTGTAGTAGTAAATAAAACAGGCCACAGAGTGTTTAGTAACCTCTTTACCAACAGCCATGACATGACTCCTGTCCATACAGCCCAGCTTCCTCACCAGAACAGAATCCCTTAGTGCTTGCTGGAAGTGACTGGTGGCCTGTGCTACATCCTCTACTTTGCCCAGACGCTGCTTAGAGGAGCGTGTGCTGACTGGACCCAGAACTCTGAGGCCAACTCATACCATGACCCCTAATAATTTGTTAGATGTGGCTATGAGACCCGCTTACCTCATGATTATGTTATGTTGTTGTGGCTAATTTGCTCATATAAACTGAGTTATATCAAGACATCCAACATAAAGTTATTAAATGAAAGAAGTGGCTTTAAGAAATGTAACTGCACTTGGTAAGGTCCAAACTTTCCTTCACATGTTTATTTGTCGAAAAAAAGAACCCCCCCAGAAACCAGATGCCATTCATACTTATATGCATCCCACATTGTCTTCTTAATGAAATTGCTGTTCTTCTCCACATTCCTTTCCCCTAGAGAAACAACACTTCAGCTAGTCTTAGCTCCTGTTGCTCCATGAAAGCTAATGGATTTACACATCCCTATCCCTGGAGATGATCTAGTAGAATATTTGCAATCACTTACTGATGTGAATATAAGAATATACTAATACCTCTTATCTTGTATTACTGGTTTCACAGTCAGAGACCTAATGCCTGTTGAACACCATGTGCTCATATAATTCAGAGAAAACTAGATTTTTTCAGGCTCCAGCTCTGCCACGCATTTCATCTGTGCAATTATATTTCATTGCCTGGGGCTGACCCATGAGATAAAAGTGGGTAAATGATGATTTATGCCAGATAACAATCTCCTCCATCATATTTTTGTGTTGTTAACAGAAGGAAATAATTACAGTGCTTCATTTCTCAGTGATTCTAAAGAGTTGGGGTTTTTTTGTCTAATGCTAATGGGACGCTCAGCTAACCTCTGTAGGAAGTTGTAAAAGGAAAATAAATTAAGAGTTAGACTAAATAGATGTTACAATGAAAGTAAAATATCTTGGCAATTTACAAGGAATTTTTATGGTCTGCTCTGCAACTGTAAATCTTCAGCTTGCATCCTAAAACAGCCACGGGTATCTGTCCACATGCAGAATCCCAACTCTCACTTCTCAGTGACTCTGCAATATGCAAATCCCTGGATTCACAAGGGCTGGCATCTCCAAACAGGAATAAATGGCTGTCCTAGAGGTATCTGCATCTGGCCATAAGCAGAGCTGGAATTCAAGGTCGGATATCCGCTACTGTGAGATAAGGAATCTAACCCTGCAAAGCACTCCACATTTTTAGAACCTGCAGTATGATTAATGGGAGCTTTCCCTAGATCTGCCTAACAAGCCTTGGTTTAGGTACTCTTGAAAGAAAAGGAAAATGCTTCCAATGCCAGTTAAGCACACCAAGGTTATAGGGAAAAGAGTCAGTCTTTGTTCCCTGCAAACACCTTCACTCCATTTTTGTTAGCTAGTTTGTGCTCCTGTCATATCCAGACACTGCAATCTCGGAATGCACTCATCCTCAGCTTTCCTCTTTGAAGTAGAGAAAAGGTTTTAGCTTAATTTTTTTACAGCTGTAGTGCTGCAGTGCAAAGAGAATAAAACACAGACAAGCAGAGTATCAGTAGTACCCACATGTTTTTTCTATCAACAGAGTAAAGTACCTGAGGACCTCTGGGTTCTTGGGACTGTCAAAGCAGACTTACACTTTGTGGGACATAGACCTCAATTTCAGTAGAGTAGTTGACTTCCAGTTTTCAAGGGCTAGGCAAGAATACCTTTTCCCTTATCCCAGGGATGTTTTACCCACCTTCCTGTCCAGTTCATCTGAACCACAGCAGTTATTCTGAAGGCTGATTTGGATGGCAGATAATGAGTTAATCAAAAAGTGGTTGTGTTAGATTTCTTGAGCAGTGAAAGGACTATGTCTGAAAAGGAAAGGACAGCACCACTGGATGCATATTCCCGTGTGAACCTATTTCTTTTTGATTGGTATTTTGTAAAATTGCAACACTGATCCAAAAGGAATCTGGGGCTCTAGCCCTGATCTGATACATGTCCTTTTACAGCAGGTTATGACACATTGTTTTTCCTATATAACAGTATAAATAGTTGTATATATTTCTGTAATAATAAAAAGCATTTTATATACATAAAATATAATTACTGAGGTGAAGTCCCTTTCCCTGTCTCCATATGAGCAGGTGAGATCCAAAAAGAACAGAGATTGTTGTTTGTTGTTATCTTAAATGGTTCCTATAGATTCCAATGCTCAGATAAAGGTAATACATCTCACAGTCATCCTCTATATTTGCTCCTAACTCCAGCTGACCCAAGTGCTTGGGTTAATCTGGAAAGCCACACCAGTAACTGGGACATCAGTTGCACATGATCAAAACACAAATAGAAAAAGACTTGTTAATAAATTAAAAATAGATCATAGAACTCAGGCCATTATATAAACAATAATTTTAATTTATTTTTGTTGGGAATAGGGGACTGCTGAATACCAGGGAAGCTAAAGCACCAAACATCAGGTCGTTTAAATTAAGTTCTTAAATTGGGAGTCAGGGAAGTAAATTCATTAACATGTGGGATATCAGGCTGGGAATTTGTAGCATCAGCCTATCTCTAGAAGTGTGGTTAAGGTGTAATTATATGTGATCATTCTTCGTAGTGTGCTGCTTTATCAGAGATCATGTGGTCTGTGCAATACGAGCTCTCACTACAGCCTGTGGCTGTTACATCTTTGTGGTAAAGTGGCGTGAAGTGGTTGGGATAATTAAATGAGATTTATGCAGCATGAGGATACTGGATGTAAGAATTAATGAGAACCTAATGCACTCCAAAGATAAGCCCAAGCTGATGTTCCTCCCAGGAGGGTTTACAGCCAGGGCCATGCAGGAATGTCAGGCTTCAAATTATGCCATTGCTTGGCTATGTCATTGCAATATTCATAGCAGATGGCTCTGCTAACACAGTCTGTAGCCTTTAAGTAGCCAAATAATTTTTTTATTTCAATAATGGAAAAGTTACTAAAGAAAACAAGAGATTGGTAACTTCTTGGTTTAGTGTGTATGTCTAAATCCTCACATATAAATGAATAGATTCAATGATAGGTATGTACATGTGTTTCTAAGATTGTGATACCCTCTGCTGGCAAATATGTGAATGTATAAAGCAAGCAGCTTTACAATCAGGGCTGAAACATCCCCTTAACAAAAATAGGGTTCCTTCTGTCAAGACAGTTTGCTCTTACAAATGCAACATCATCAAAAGAGAAGTGTTTCATAGCAACCTATCAATTTTGACAAATGGAAAAAATCATGTTTTTTCTGGACGAGTTAAATTTACTTTGAAGTAAAATGCTTTAACATTACAGAGAAAAATAGTGATTTTTTTTTTTCTGGATTCATGTAGTACTTCATTAGCCACACACCGTTATGTTTTGTGCCTGGCACAGAAGCAGGTGATAACCTTCTCCTGTAAGTCTGCATGGCAATATGTTATTGATCATGATTCATTTACTTACCAAAGGTATTTGGCAGCAAAGCTGCCCTGATTTAATAGTTCCCTGAATTTCTGATCCTTTTTTCCATCTTTGTTTTCCTAACTTTCTGTCTTATAATATAAAAGCACTGAAAGTTTTGGAACGGGCTGGCGAGGGCTGTAAGCCCAGAAGCAAACATGCTCATGCCATATCAAAGTCCCACCACTTTTAAGCTTCTTGAAAGGGAAGGAATTGATTCCAGATTCTCAGGATGTGGCAAGCTGTGTTTAAAGAAAGTGTGTGCATTTATTATTTCAAGTCAGTTCAATTAGAACTTGATTCCTTCCACCCCCCGTGCCACTTGATAATTTTATAACAGGCCTGCTTGAAGGACTCATCTCCTCATCGTGGGATGATCTGTGTCTCGCTTGGGTAGCAAAACCGAGTTATGCAGTTTTCTGGCCCTTGTGCTTGAAATGACAAGTGTTCCTTCACACAAGGACAGGAGTCCTTGGGAGGGTTTAGTGGCAGTAGTCTTGAAAATTATTTCCTGGATGCTCTTGCTCAAGTTTTCACAGCCAATTTGAGTGTTTCTGGTTGTTTAGTGATTGTTTAATATCGAGAAGGAGGTCTTGTCTGAGCACAGGAAAGTAAACCAAGGTCTTGTGTGTTTACTTTGGTTCCTTTGGTTGATGCTGAGCAAGTCACTCAAGCTCTGTACAGTCACCAGGGTAGCAACAATTTATGTATTCATTGGAGGAGGATGAAATTTAATTAACTGGAATGCTGTGTACATGTACAGTATCCTGCTTATTATTTTTTCCTGCGAGACTGTGTACTGCAAACCAAGGGGACAACCTAGAGTAACCACCCATTAACTGTCCCGCCTAAAATTGTAAGTTCTTTGGCTCGCAGAATGAGCCCTTTGATTTCATGTATGAGTTTAAAAAGTTGTTCTTGAATTGAGTTCTTAGGGGGCACCAGCTCCAGTGTGGGTGGGCGCATTCATTAGTGGTACGGAAGGATATTTCACTGTACGGCTCTTCAGAAGGCGCTGAGCTGGGAGACCACCAACATGATTTCATGCAGAGGAATTTCCAGCCGTCTGACCAGAGGACTCCGCTTGTCTGGTTTGGATTTACATCAAGAGGCCAAAAATAAAAGCACATTTAAATCATTAACTCACATGTGATTAAATGCCGTTCACCTCTTTCAGTAGCTCCATCACACTTTGTGGTTAAGTGCGTGAGGTGGGAAATGTCTCTCTCCCTGTGCTGTGTATG